AATTACTTTAAAATCAAATCCTTCTCAAATACACTGGTGACGTGCGTAAACATAACCTCCTTGTCGGGGTTAATAAAGATAAGGATAATAATAATAGTTACCCCTATTGTCACGGCAATATTGCACGATATGCAATTAAAAAGATCCTGGACTCGGATCATGAACCGGATCACCACCAAAAGTAATTGACATTTAAGTGAGGCTAAGACGCACCTCTGGTAAAAATATTATAAAAACCTGTTCATGACTTTTTTTTAGTTATCTTGTTAACCAAACAACCAACAAACGGACTAACTCACTAACCAACGCTACCAAAAAGAATAAGGTCCTTGGCGGAGGTAAAAGTACTAAAAATGATAATAATGATAATGATGATAGTAACAATAACCATGATAATGATACTGATAAGGATAATAAAACGATAATAATGATTACTACTATAATCATTACTAATACTATTATTATTGTTATTATCAATATTATCAATGTTTCAATATTATCATCAGCATTATCATTATCATACTTCTTATCATTATTATTATCATTATTATCAGTATTATAGTTATTTACATTATTATTTTCTTTATTGCTATTATTACCATCATTATCATCATTATAATTGTTATTATTTTCATTATCGTTATCATTTTCATTATTATTGGTATTATGTTTATGATCATTGCTGTACTTATTATTTTTTATCATTTATGATTTATTTCATTATTACCATTATTCATTATTATAATCATTATTATTACTATTGTTATAATCACAATAATTATCATTATTAGTAATGTTATTATGTTTATTGTCAGTATTACCAATATCATTATCATTATCATCACTATCATTATCGTTACTATTATTACAATTATTATTATAATTTCGATTACTATTATTACTATTATCATTATTATTGTCATCATAATTATTCTTATCATTATTGTTCTGATCATTATTATCATTATTCTTATCATTAGTATAACGAGATAGGGAATCATGGACGTCATCGGTGCACTTAAAAAAGGTGATGTTAATGTAATTGTTCAAGTGTGAATATCTTTATTGCATCATTGACCCTTGACGGAGGTAGGCGCTCTCTAAGTGCTTCTAGTTATTATTATCATTATTATCATTATTATTTATAGTAGTAGTAGTAGTAGTAGTAGCAGTAGTGTCATTATAATTACTTTTATAATTATTTTTGTCATTATTACTATTATTATCATTATCATTATCATTATTATTACTATTATTATTTTATTATTATGTTGGTATCATTATTATTACTATTATTATTGTTATTATTATTGTTGTTATTATTATTATTATCATTATCATTATGTCGCGTTTTCTTTCTACATTTTGTTTACTTAACCAGTGATGCCGAGAACAATCACTGTTCCTTGGGCATCATGGGAGGATGCTTCAGTTGATTGATGGCACTTTGCGCAGTATGTGGGCAGTGCCAAGGAGGCCTATCTATGGACTTCACAGATGCTGATGTTACCAGGAATCTTACTGGTGTATTTATGCATTATACTGATAATGATGATAGTAAGACACTGATAATTGTTATTTCATACGTTTTCCCTTATTCTTAGTCTTATTGCCTGTTTTCACACACAGTATATTAGATTTATATTTTTGCCCCGAACAGTAATGGAGAGAGAACTCACTGGACTGAACAGCTCACACTTCATCGATTTCGTCACTTCTTTATCACTTACTGTTCATTTATCAATGTTCAGTACGTAGAACATACTTCGTTAAACGCAAATATCACTTTCTAAATTTATGCAAGTAGTATCCAGCTTTCAACTTCCACTTAAATTACCTGCAACAAGGACAGAGGAAGTAGGAGAAGGACAGGATATATAAGAACTGATGAATGTGTATTATCTTGGAGATAAGTTATCATAACCTGTGGCGGCTCGCTCCTGGGAGAGGCTGTTTCACTGCCAGGCGTATGACTCCACCACCCTCACTCTAGAATTAATGCAACTCGTACGTCATATAAGAAAATGCTGTGTGTTTTTTTCGATGTATTTATTTGATTTTCTGAGTTCATGAAAAAGAGACAAAAATGTTAGTTTTATGTTGTACGAGAGTTCTGTTTGATGTTGATGGGCGTGTAAAATCATTTTTCCTTAAATTTTCTTTCTTTTAGAGCCGCCACTGATATCACAAGCCACTGATTACGATTTTTATCAATGGAAATAGAAAAGGTCTCTGTTTTTGTCCTTTCTTAAAGGAGCAGACTTCTGTTCTTCAGACATACACACAACACACATATATATTATACACACATATATGTTTATATATGTATATGTATACATATGTATATACATATATATGTATATATATACTTATATATGTATATATGTATATGTGCATATATATTTATGTGCACAGGCACACACACACACAGACACACACACACAGACACACACAAACACACACACGTGTATATGTATATGTATTATATATATATATATAT